CAAAATTCAAACGCCAATATCTTTGGAACTAGGTGAAAGAAAAAATTTAACCCCTCTTATTTTGAAGATAATCATGTTATTGTAACTTATAAGGAGAATGGTGATTTTCACTCTAAAACTGTTCTGCAGGGGGTCTTTTGAACATTGATAAATTAACATGGGGCTCAATATAGTTTTTTTTATAATTTTAACGGTTAAATATATCAAAAATAAGAAATTTTTAGAAATGTACCTGTTTGATTTTTATCAAATCAATATATTAGTCGTTTATAATGGCAGCCAATGGGATTTTCAATATTCAAGTCAATATCCTTGGAACTCGGTAAAAGAAAAAATTTAACCCTTCTCATTTTGAAGATAATCATGTTATTGTAATATTCTAGGAGAATGGGCATTATTACTCTAAGACTGTTCTGCAGGGGGTCTTTTGAAGATTGATAAATTAACATGGAGCTCAATGTAAATGAGTAAAATTTTGGAGGCCTGCTATTTTCAACTAGGGCCACTTTGCAACACCACTTCGTTAGATTTCAAAAATATATGTATAAATGATACTTGTGTCAAAAATGGTGCTCTATACACCGTTGCTCATAAATATGGAATATTTTATAGATACGAACCGTTCGATGGAATTTCTACAAAATTGTAACATTTTGATGAAAATTTGTAATGTGTTGATTGGTATGAAAAGTTAAAACATTTATGGTTGATTAAACTTGTATTCACTCAGTTGACCCCATGACATCATGATATTGGTAACTTGAAAGAGGTGTCCAAGTCTTAGTTGTAATCATTGTGCACATTTTATAAAAATTTAATTTAGAGTTGGAAGGGTTTTTAGAAGGCATGCCCCATAGAATAAGCGAAAATGAGCATGGCAGGTCATAGGGATGGCACTCTCTGGCATGAAACAAACTGCCATTCCCAGGACCCTAGGGGTGTTTCAGGAACAGTCTTTAAGATTTTGCAGTGGTACCAAAGGCACTGGAATATGACTCCAGGTCACAGTAATAGTAGCCCTAGAGAGAAAAATGTAAGAAAAGACCACCAACAGCTGCATTTATGTCATCAAAATCGCTTTAAGTCAATCAGTAGTCTACGAGATGAATGGCTGTCTCACCTCAAGACCTGTGTTCCAGAGCTATAGACAACCAGTGATTTCTTTATAACCGATGCAAGGCCATGATACCCTTAAAGAGACCACAGCTGACTGATCATAACAAAGAAAGGTGCCTTCAATGGGCTGGAAAGCACCAAAAACGTTGGACCTAATCTTTGGTGTCATATGCCAGCATGTGAAGAGATAAAATGTGTCCTCCACAAAGTTAATAATTGTGTTAGTTTCTGTTGTAGACCTGGGGAAAGAGACAATTAGGACACTTACTGATGTGACAGTCCATGAAGGCGACCCTATTTATGTTTGGAGCAGTATTACAGAGGTTGTTTGGAGCAGTATTACCGAAATTGCACCCCCTTGGTGATTCCCAAACATAATTTCAGAGTAAATTGCTCTTTTGGACCTCCATCAAGTACCACATGTAAACAGAGTGTTTTGGGGCAACATTCAACTGCAGAATGATCATGCTGTTGCATATGCTAGTGGCATCGTGTTGGATTACATCAGGGCAGGCAATGTTGACAAGCCACCATGGGCACAAAAGTCAGCCAATCAGGCTGGAATGGGGCCTTATTTCACTTTGAGCAGCACAAAGAGAACATAACACATATTAGTGCTATCATTGGATAGAGGACACTTCAATCTTCATGACCAGATGGTTTTTTTGTTTGATCTGTTTTACAGGACGATTTGGATAGGGGTATTTTGAAAATGCCAAAATTCTTAGCGTACCCCTGTTTAAGTAACAGAAATTTTCTAAACTTAAATGTTAATATTTTCTCTAAAAAATGTTGATTTGTAGGTGAAATATGTGGTTATGATTTGCCTAGAAAATAAAATGTCTGGGCCAACTCCAAATAAATGTTCTCTTACTCCAAACTTTTAATTCTGAGCTGCCAAATGTAATATTCCATATTTATGAGCAACAGTGTATATAGCAAGTAACAGCTAACTGACCCCACTACATATTAAATGAATACAATACTGTAGAACATAAACATACTTTAATATTAATAGACCTGTGATGGTTAACTTAGTTGAAATATTTCATCATAGACAGATGACTATCATTTAATTGAAACCCATAGTCTTCTGGTATTGAGAGAGGAATCTTAAAAAGGTGGCAGGGTAGTCAGCTCGTTTATACCCTAAATACAGGTTACCATGGCAACCTTATCTCAAAAATAATTTAAGATATAGCTATAATATTTTAGCATTGTATGTGTAATTACAAAATCTTCAAGTTCTGGAAAAATGAGAGGGATATGTGAAAAAAATCACAAAATGAGAGCATTTTTATCAGAATATATGGATCGCCCCTTGTATATACAGGGTATGTGCTTCAAAAGCTTTGGAGGGTTCTTCATTGGACAAATGAATGGCGTTGATGGGTCTGCCCAATAGTTCCAAAAGGCTTTTGCTACACCACAGACATCCAACAACATCTTGGAGAGGCTTTAAAACCACTCTGAAGAGTTCTTGGAAAGAAAACCCCACTCCCTAGACCTGAACTCCAAGAATTTTATCCAGGAGTTCCTGAAACACGCGTGCTTTAAATGGCCAGCAAATGGGCATTACCCAATTGAAAAAAGCCTATGGAAAATCACCTCCAATTATCACCTAACTTACTATTGATAATTAGTTGAAAGTTAGGTGTAAAAATTCACATGCAAATGAGCTAATTATCAACTTAATAAACGCTTAATTTGCAACTTAATTAACGATTAACTACCATCAATATGCAAATGAGCTATTTACGTAAATTAGTTGAAAGTTAGTTGTAAGTTTGATGTTAGTTAATCTCTAATTATCACCTAACTTACTATTGATAATTAGTTGAAAGTTAGGTTTAAGTCAGATTTGTGACATCTCAAAAATGACTCGCTTCTTTTTTGCTTCCCTATACTCGGAGATTTTTGCTTCATCTTGAACTATTTTGTGACGGAATATTCATCTTAATTAGGATCTTTCAGAACAGACAACATTGAACTTGAACTATTGAAATTTCACAGCAAGAGGAGGGAAAACCCCATGATTCAATTGATGACATACGATTTCCTCCTTCGCACACCTCCTTTTGTCGAAAAAGTACCCTCCATCTTGGTTTTTAAAGTTTTCAAATTGACCTAGTTTTAAACCAATCAACGATCGACTCGCTAAACCAATCAGCGACGATGTCATCTCAATACAGATTTACATTATAAGCGTATGTCATCTTTGAACCCTGGGGTTTCTCCCCCTCTTTTTTAAAGCTATTCTATTTTGCAAATTTTTAAGATTCATGAAAAGCATGTGAAAACATCATTATTGCCATCAACAACTAAAATCAGAACACAAACATTAGACTATAATGTTACATAATAAGGACGTAACAGATATAATCAAAAATATGTTTTGAAATGTCTTTGATCTAACAATCATTATTTAGAAGAGCACATTTGGATTACTTGTGAAATATAGGTGACCCATGTTAGTACCTAAATTGCATTCTAGGATTAATATTATAGGATCTGGTTCAAAAAGATTTTTAAATTCATAAACATTTCAGACAGAAGTGTGAATAAGATTTAACATACATTGTATTCATGTTCTACATACCCTTATAATAATGTTGACCAAATTTCATGGTAGAATATGCACCATTCACGTTGTAATTCTCAATTTTATGAGAGAAATATCTCTCACATGTTTTCTTTTTCCACCATCTTGAAATTAAATTTAGGGGGTTTGTATTTCTAAATCATGGGCCTAATTTACAACTAATTATCATTATAATCATCCTATATGTTAACTATCAACCAATAATCTACTTCAGAACAAAAGCGTTTTAATTTACCACTTACTATCACCCTCAAACATTTCATATCTTAATTATCAACTAAAAATCATAAATCAGCATTATTGTAAGTTAATTTACGTTGAACTTGCTACTGATAATTAGGCCATAATTATCATTGATTTAATTAACGCTTAACTTCAATTCCAATTGCCAGCAGAATTGTTGATAATTAGTTGTAAATTAGTTGGTAATAAGTTGGTAATTAGTTTTATTTTTCAATTGGGTACACATTTCAACAGTAATGCAACATTAAGAAGATTAAAACAGCTTTAATTGACTCTATTGGTTAAAAAGATATGCATTATTAGGTGGATTGCTTTTTTGATACACCGTGTAGTTCATCTTTTTGATAATTAATTTTAGAACAAACTTGACAAAATGACTCCAATGACATCGAAAGGTCAAGGACACTTATATCGGACGCCATGTTTAAAATCTCCCGCGAAATTATGCAACATCATTTAAGCATATTTCAAGAGCCTTAAAAATTAAGATTCCGTAGATACTTGATTAAAAATACAAACAAAACATGATCATATTATTTCGGAATCTATCTACAACAACATATTATAAGATTAAGATAAAAAAGAATTTGTAATAACAAACAGAACAACGAATCAATCAAAATATAGTCCGGTATTTTGTCAAGAAACATACTTTGGTTGATCGTTTTTTCTTACAATTTACCAAATAACTTCGTTGTTATGTTAAGTTTCTTTTAATACTGTATAATTTGATTTTATAACTTGAAGAATGAGGAATATCAGTGTAAAATTGCTGCTTTGAATATAATCCTGATACCTGTATATTTGCATCCAGAACTATAGTTTCTGGCTTTGGATGATTTTTATAGTTTCAAGGTAATTTTCTAAAGCAAATATATTGTATGTATTTTTGTATAAATAGCCAACTACAAGAATAAACATCCCACTCAATATTTAGTAATTTAGTGCTATCCATGTCATGCACTTGTTCAAAAAACGTCTTTAACGAGTTGTCTAACGATGCCTGGGTCTTGATTCTGTAATGTAATATGCTATTATTTCTTCCTACATTGTTTATTCAAAGCAATTGTTTCCAACTAATAATACTATTTATTCGAAATAAGATAATATTTGAAGTAAGGATGAACCCCGCTTATAGGCTTCCTAAATTATAAAAGAGACTGGAATGTGTGAATTAGATCGAACAACAAGACTTAAAATGAGAGAAACAGTACATTCGTTCCTTTTGAAGCAGAAGACGGAGAGAATACGGCAAAACTTTGTAAGTATTGTATTTATTATTTTTTGTTGACATCCATTGAAATAGACTTTGGACAGGGTGAGAAACTTGAACTAAAACTTTACGACTCCATATCTTATCAAATAAGGAAATCACACAAAATCAAAGTGTTGCTCTGTCATCATATTTCATGAGAAAAGGTAAACATACTGAAACGGAAGTTCTAAGATTATATAGTGTAACAAAAAATAACAAACCCAAATTTGGACGTATCCTTAGATTATATTGTACAGCCAAAACCACTACAAATTGTGAATATGTTATAAGATCATATTGTTTGATAAAGAAAGACACACCAAAATTAGAATATTTCTTAAATAATATTGTATAGCCAAGAAAAGCACTAAAATGTGAACGTTTCCAAGGACTACATGTGTTACAAAGAAAAATAAACCAAAATGTGGACGTGTCCTTAGATTATATTGTATAGCAAAGAAAAACACTAAAATATGAACATGTCCTCAGATTATATTGTACAGCCAAAACCACTACAAATTGTGAATATGTTATAAGATTATACTATTTGATAAAAAAAGACACGCCAAAATAAGAATATTTTCTTAGATTATATTGTATACCCAAGAAAAACACTCAAATGTGAATGTTTCCAAGGATTACATGTATAACAAGGAAAAATAAATCACGATGTGAACGTGTTCTTAGATTATTTTGAATAGCAAAGAAAAACACACCAAATTGCGAACATGTTCTAATATTAGTACCCCACACACAATTTTGTCACCTACTTTGATGTGTTGTAGAAAAATATCCAATAAGAGTTTTCTCATGAAATTTGGCATACATTAAATTGAAACAATTTGTGACACTAATATTTTTCTGTTTGGGGTACTATGACTTCACAATTTGACTTCGGTTTCTAAATTGCTACGCATTTACAGATTTGACCTAAATGAAGCTAAATTTTGAAACAATTTGTAACAAATTGATTACAAAAACAATTTGAATATTCTGGTCAATCCTAATAATTCACAGGTAAAAGAAAAACTGAACCAAGCAGGAGTGACTGTTATAATGTTACAATGTTATGATGTTACCCATCAAAGTTTACATGTTAAATCCATGTGAATCATTTCCAACAAAAGGTAAGCCGTCGGTGGCCACATGTGAGGTATTGGGCGAATATGGCCTCCCGATCGTAGGCCAACGAAAAATTGAGTGCAAGCTCACTGTTAACAAAGCCTTAATTGACTTAAACAAAATACAACCATTTTCTTGAGATTTTATGAGATGCGAGCTATTGGAAAGGATTTTTTAATCGAGTGAGACAGTAGGAAATGCTGTATTAGTGGTAGGATGGGATAGAAATTCAAGCAGGGATGTCTTTCAGTGCCCTGATAAATAATTGTTGTTCTTAAGACAGCGTCCCCAACAGTTCATGTGGTCCAAGTTCTCTCATAACACAAGCTATCAAAATTTTATCCAACGATAACGTTTTTTTATTGAGCTCTGTCGCACCAAATATTTAGAGGGGGTCATATCTGATGAGCATTTCATAATTTTTCATAAAATCACACAGAAACTGTCTGGCATCCAAAATGGATAGTGTATCTTGAACACCATTAATTTTTTATGAATGATGGGGGGCGCTGTATAAAAACGACAATCTCATGTTTAATGCATGCTGCGTCGCTACAGAGTGGATTACATTACTATTTTCCTAATTTCATTGATATTAGGTGTCAACCACACATACAGGGTGGGCCAAAAAACGCCACTTTTTTTTCAAGACACTACAACTTTTTTATTTTCCAACCTACATAGCCCAAATTTTGCAGTTAAATAGTGCCAGGGTTCTTAGCAATAATATAATGTAACAAGTCCTTCAACGTGGATTATATTTGATCTAAAAGAGGAGTTCAATTGGTCCGCCACCCTATTTGATGATTGATTTTAGTTTTAGTCGCCTTGCTGATATAGCAGTATCAATGAAATGTTAGCTAATTTTTTTTCAACCTGTCCTAATTGCCAGCTTTAGTTGAGCATTTTTTTAGATCGGGTGCCTTAATATAATCTCCTGAAGACATTCCCATACCCTATACTCATATTTTGCAAATTATGCTTATTTCTCATGGCACACCACATGTTTAAGTGAGACGCTGGTGACATATTTTATTCAAGTAAAAGTGTATAATTCATGATCCATGACTAGATAACAACTTCAAGTTTCATTTGGTATGCAAATTATGATTTTGTATCAAAAATTAAAATGTTATAGCATTTTGAAAAAAAAGTGGCGTTTTTTTTGGCCCACCCTGTATAAGAGTATATTTGAAGTCCCAAAACATTTCTGCCACACCAAATATTTCCTACAGGCTCCGTCTGCATAGGGTGATACCAAGTAGTTCAAAGCGAAATGTAAACATGTCCTAAGATTATAGTGTTTTATGGTTTAGAAAATCATACCCAATAAGATTATTTTTCACTATTTTTTATTCTAATTAGATAGCACGGAAAAACATAGAAAAGTATACATATCCCAAGAGTATATAAATATAGATTATATGAATAGTTCTAAGACTATATTCTATAGCAGAGAAAAAAATAAAATGAAAACATGTTCTACAGAGTGGTCAAAAAACGGAAAGCCTGTCGCTATTTTCCTCATATCATGTCAATTTTAAGAAAATTACTCCCCAATATTTGGCACATTAGTACATCATTCAATTTCCTACCAGCCTTCCATATTTCATGCCCATCAGATTGATAGTCACAATGTTACAACACTTTAGCCAAACCAGCACACGTCGTCCAAAATGTCCCTATCTGACTTCTACCCGTGGGGATACACCACAGATAGGGTGTACGGGAATGACCTCAGGACATGCAAAAATGAGATCACCTGTGCCCGCACCTGTGTCCTTCAGCCCATACCTGCTGAAGAATACAGTCATTGACAACAGCAGCTTTGCTTACAGCATGATGGCCATACCTGAAGCATGTTCTTCAAAGTGCTGTAATATTGTGACTATCAGACGGATAGTCATGAAATATTGTAGACTGGTAGGAAGTTGAATGATGTACAAATGTCTCGAGTATCAGGGAGTTATTTCCTAAATGATATGAGGAAAATGCATTTTTTAATAAGATTATATTTCATATAAAAAAACACACCACAACATAAAAATGTTTATATCATGATAATATATTCACAGTATACATAAAAGCTGAGTTATATGTTTCATTACCATATTATATATTTATAACCAATCATATTTTATCACAGTTTTTGTTGCAGATGATGATAACCACAATGATAACAAAGCACAGCGTTAGATTGATATTTTGTGCGTTTTTGGTCGTCAGCCTAGTCCAAGAAGCAACCGGGGACGCTCATTCCTCCTGTCGGTTATACTGCCAAACAAATTTTGACAATAATATATCTGCCCTCAATTACTGTGTAGATGTAGAATGTCCAGCTATGTACCGATCACGCGTGAACCGATTTGGGAAAAGACTATTCTTACATAAGTCAGAAGAAACACTTAATATGCCGGTAAAAATCTCATCTTTGAAAACGGAAACGCCACATGGAGGAATAACGGATTCGGTGATACAGAACGAGCAGGACGCTGACATAGTACGAGAATTAAGAAAACTCATTGCACAAAGTTTGAGAAAAGAGACCCTGAAATAACACGATGGGGGTGTTCTTTGCTTGTTTTGAACATGATATATCTATACAGTACTTCAAAGAATGCAGATACATTGTATGATATATTTACATATGCAGACGATAGTTATTGTGAATTGAACTTTTTGTATAGTATGATGTTTTATTGGGACCTAATTCCAAAACATAAAACTGAGAGGAGTCCAGATAGTTGGACTTTTACACATATAACTGCTTCTGGTCTGAAACGACACTTTACTGATGAGTAGTGACTGTATCATAATTTTGACTAAATAGTCCATGGTATGACTTCCGAATATGAAGGATCCGTACCACACTATAGCAAAGCAACATTTGAAGCAATATTTATGGAGGTGCATATGTCTTGATTCTTTTAAAATACAATTTGCAGGAAAAACTTCTGCTTTCTAGTCGAAAAATGTTTTTCATCACAAGGGGTCAAAAAACGTAAATATTTTGAATCGAACTTTTATACATTTTATAAGACACAGACTGTTATTCTAAGCATACGAACAAAAAAGATTATCATAATGTAAAAATATGCTATAATTTTACTGTAGATGTCGGTGTTTGATTAGTGTAATTACGCAAGTGTGTTTTTCAGATTTTGTTTGATTTTTCAAATATGAGCCAAGCAGATTCAACAAAATTGTGTGGAATATTTACGTAATTTAGGATTGGGAACATGTTAGTAAAAACATAATACAATAACAAATAGGTAAGATTTATATCTAATTAGATTTTACAGAGGTATTGGAATGTTCATATATTTCAAGGGCATGTCTAATAATCAATTAACGTCATATGCAATCGAACGCCTTACAATTCTTCCTCGACGTTACTGCTGGCTACCATCAAGTTTTCTGATGGTTGTTTCTTCTTTGACCTTGCCGCTGGATATAATCAAATTTTAGGAAGATAATGATAACGATTTTTCTCAATTATTCATGAATTCGACCAAGTCTTGATGGTTGTTTTATAAGCATCTGGGCTATATCTAACTAAGAGAAATAGAATTTTGGATGTAGTCCCAATTAGTCAAGGAAGAGCAATAGGCCCTCCTTTATTGATAATGTTCACCGCTGAATAAAAGTCCATGTGTCAAAACGTATTGAAACCCATTTTGTGAAAAAGTAGCATAATTTAAACATTTATCATTCTAATATAAAAGTGATTCGTTTGTAGCATTTATCTTATGAATTAATACCTGAGAAACAATACAAAACGTCGATACACTAATTACATAGTTTTTGGGTATTGATAAGAAAAATAACCTCAAACTTATAGCTTAGAAACCTAAATCATTTATTTAAAATCATTTTGTATTATTTTCTGTTGCATTGTGTACTCCAAATTGTGAAAAATTAAGATTTTATTGTTTGGTAATTTTTTGACCTCTGTTAATGGCAGGCATAATTCAGCCTAAAAGCCGGTAGTGTATTAAACGGTTATAATAAAAATTATATGTAGGTATATTTAATGTTAGGTCGAATATCGCTGCGCTATACGTGTGCTACCAGCTCCTTTATAAGACGCCCTAGAGATTTCATACCATGGACTAAAACCGTATGTAACTGAGTCAGTATTAAATTGATAAAGTTTGATTGAACCCCGATCGCTTCTTCCCAGTTTTAGCACCATATTATATGTGAAATTACTATAATGTTGTTATTGTATATATATTTGACACGTGTGTTACAATTTATAGATACTTCACTTAGATGTTTTGTGGAAATAGGATAAATGTAATAAAATCAAGAAAACAAGTGTATTTGCCAGATAATACTTTCTTTTGTACTGGATATATTTCCAATTGTATAATTATCAAACTCAAAAAGGTTATATAACAATTTATTCATAAAGTTACATGAATATTGAACTTTAGTGGAACATTTTTCTATATCTGCCATGTTATTTGACCAGAACTAGCCACCTGGTGGAGAAACTGGTAACTACGAGTGAACGGGACAGCCAAATTGTACCTGCTGGTACCTTGGTAGTTGATCTCCAGCTTTTTATTGTGAGGAGTAAGGTTTCATATAATTAAAAAACACGATATAAAAGTACAAATGTCATCTACACATAGGGTAACTAAGAGTGACAGCCTTTCAACGCTATATCTTCTTTTTATGTCTTTCTTTAAACAACAGTATTAATCTAATACGATTCGTTATTGACTACTAGATAATGGAATCATACTTTACCTTTAATGAATGTGATTGTGTGTGGTGTTTTATTGTAGGGTCTCTATTCTCTAATATATTATAATTATTTTCATAACTTCTTTGGTTTCATTTGAAGATTTGATGACAATAAATTCAATTAAGTCAAATTAGTGAATGCAATAAAATCAACGTTAGAGATTAATTTAGATTTCTTATGGCTGCTCGAGACACTTGATATATTAAGAAAAGAATACCATACAAAGCATCCATTACACTAATATTTGATACACAATCAGAGATGAGCTAGAAGTATCATACAGTCGCATTAAATAATTTAGATTTTATGATATTTATAAAGTAGTACACCATTGACTTGTAAGTCAAATGTTTGCTACGAGGAAACTACTAAAGACACTAAGGACTAAACATTTACACCAGTCCAGCATGGGAGACAAGCAACCGCCCGCCATTTCTGATAACACGGGAGCAGCAGAGCACACTAAAAACGCAAAGGACTTCTCGGGAAAACATAACGGTGGTGATCGTTATATGGAGCAGAATCTAAAGTGTATACACCCAGAACAAAATAAAGCATTAACTAACTTCAGTATCGATTTTATACTGAGGAACGACGATCAACATGTAAAGAACCCGACTGTTTGTGAAATTCAGGATCTCGTGGAATCAAACGTTTTCGGGGAATCAAAAAAGTCCATGAACTATAAAGGTAGTGATATGATTTCTGCAACCTCACAGGTTCATATTTGATAAGATATTACAATTCTAAATTGTAATGGAAACATTCCAACATTTTACCCTCTTATAGTTAATGGTTTCACTCTAAGTAATGACAGTCTGTGTGTTAATAAATTTTATTGTATTAATTTATCAATTTATCTTAAATTTTCTAGTTTTCACTTTAGGTGACCTTAGCGAGAACCTTTGCAAAATTGCCAGAAACATTTTTTTTCCTTTAACGCGCTAAACCTTTTTATCAATTTTAATTCTGTTTTAGATTTTGATAAACGCATCAATGATGGAATGGATGAAGTCATGGACCGAGGGAAGAGAAGTCGCACCACCTTTTCAGCGGATCAAGTTAATGAGCTCGAAAGGGCGTTCAAGAGAACTCATTACCCAGATATATTCATGCGCGAGAAGCTGGCTCTGAGGCTTGGTCTTCCCGAGTCGAGAATACAGGTCGGTATTATATTATTGTGATTAATTCATACTATACTGGACATGACATATCTCATTCCAGCCAATCAACACACAATATTAAACAAATACTGGACTATGAGGTGGATATTCCAGAATACCTATCCGAGGAAAAAATACTATGCGAGACGAAATTTTATTATGCACCTCCCTTGGTTAATATCATATTCCTACCATCAATTTACTGTAGATAAATAAAAGATGGTGTTAAGTTGTCAAAAAGTAATTTATTTTAGAGAATGGGTCTACTAAAACAGAAACCGAGCCTAGTATTTTTTCGAGGATAGGTATTCTGGCATACGGGATGGTTGGAGATCTCGTTGCTTCAATACCGGATAGAACGAGATCTTGCTGACATGGCGATATACCCCACAGCTCTTAAACCAATCAGATTTGAGTATTTTAATGAGGTGCATAATAAATTATGATATCGTTCTATGTTTAACAATAGCTTTTGAAATCAGTGAAATTGATAACCCTCATCAGTCAGCAATGCGGTTGTTCCGTTTGTTTGGCACATGTTAATTATACAAAGTATGAAATCCACTATTTGGGATCAATTTATTTATGGATCAATTTGGTGAGAGGTGAAATGATGAGTCAGTCGGAAGATTTGGACATGGCACATTTCAATATTACATAAGTTTGAATTAAAGGTTTGGTTCCAAAATAGAAGAGCAAAGTGGCGGAAACGAGAAAAACATGGTTCTGCTACTGGCGAATTTCAAGATCAAGATGGCTTCTATACTAAAGATACAGCTACCATGAGATTCCCCGACAAACTGACGACACACCGACCATCTGGTCCTTTTGAACTTAAGGTGAGAAGCAAAGTTCCTTCAGAAAGATCCTACCACTTTTTGAGGTAACGGCCATTTCGATCTGAATTTCTAATGGTCTTCATATGAATGTATTAGGGTTGTTCAAAATGTTTTGCACAGATGTCAAACTATGAGAATAACCAATCTTGTTCATAGTTGGTAATTGGAAACAAAAAGCTATGGTGGAAAACTTGAAGAAAAATGAGAAATTGTATCTCACAAGTTATATTCATTAGTAAATATCGACATGATGTATACTATGAATCCATTAGACATTGTACTCCAAGATGGAATTGAGAAAGAGAAATCTATTGACAGCAGTTGTTGACATCCTGAAGATGGGTTTGGGACTAAAAATGCCGGAATACAAAATCACCAAAAAATGAATTAATGTAATTTGTGTTAAGGATCGAAATACATTAGCCTATCAAGACATTTGAAAATTAATCAAATTTAATGTTGCATGGACTCGTTGATGTAAATCTTGGTCAATGAATACCTGGAAGACTAATATATATATGGTTCTGAAATTGCATTTATACATATAAGAAGACTGGTTATGAAGTTTCATGTTTAGCAAAGAAGATCTCTACTCTTGAGAGGCCTTTCGTGCAAGACGTTTTGAACGACCCAAATACATGTATATGTATGGTATGGTAAGCACCAAAATATGAATTGATTTTATGGAAAAGTTGGATTGGATTAGTTTACATTGATTTTCTTTAAAAATAAAGGATCTTTTTACCATTGATCTCTTAATGAAAAGTTGATTACTGCAATCCTAATCTGTAACTCTTTTCAGTTGGCTTTTAGACCATCAATATTTATTTATGGTTTGGGAATGTTTCACTCAAAATTGTTTGGCATGTTAAATGTGGCATTATACAGGGTTACACAAAAATGTGACCATCTGTTCTTTGTAAAACTCTCTCATTTATGCATATGTATTATGAACTCATGGATCTTCAATTTTCATGAATTTTCTTTACCCACTAATAGAGGGTACCACTTTTGTGTCTTTTAAAATGGCTGCCGTAATAAGAGTAAGTAATAAGAGATCAATTGCAAAATGTAAATATGCATTGACTTCATAACATTTGATCATATGTTATGGATTGGAATTCACGACAATTGTAGAATAATTGATGTTAAGTTTATTTATTGCAATTTATTATTTATCAATCATTCTTATTATTCCCTGCCTTCTCTGACCAAACTTAACTATTGGCTTTGGAAATATGTTATGAAATAACGTAGTCAGATTAGATGCTTATTTTGTTCAATGATAGTATATCGACTATTGTAGGAATACTACGGTGCAATAAGATCATGTACGCCACATATGTCAGTCCCAGAAGCAATTTGGCCGCTACGTGCCTTTGAAATCCTTGCTCCAATGATAAACGACGATCTGGAGGAAACAACAAAGACAACATTGGCGTTGAAGGCACGAGAACATGCTGCATCTTTAACCATGATGCATATCAGAAGTTCTTTATAATAACACAACAGAGTCAAATACTGTAAAAAATATTTTTATTCACAGACATAATTTTCAAAGAGACTAACTTCTGCTATAATGAACTCCACGTTGAGACGCTGAAAGTAATTATTATAAAAAAAGTGTAGATTGGGAGAGAGAAGAGTTGAGGGTAGGTTTAAAAATTGACAATTTAATTTCTATTGTCTTTAAAATCCAACAGTTCTAATTTTATTTTGTTAATTGCTATTTTACATTGTCTTATCCTTTCAATTCATTAGTTTGAATACAAGCAGGATTGGCTCCCAGGGTTCCAACTCAATATTTTAATCTCCAAGCAATATGTTCTGTGCTGATCTCTACGGCAAAGTTCGCACGGAATTACTGCAAGAAGAATGGCTTATATTTTAGTGACTCACGGCTCTTTAATTTTGAATTTTGTAATCACAACATGACTCAATATATGGCAGAATATCGAGTTGGAACCATGGGACCCAATCTTCCTTGTTTAAATATAAGGTGGTCGAAATCAATATTATACTGAAGAAATCATTTTCATCACACTTTCCACAAGAATGTTTTATATGTTTATAGTATTGATAACAATAACACATGTGAAAATATAAGATTATGTTTATAAAAGTACAAATCCATAAAGACAGTGTTTATTGCCACTCTTCACTTTTATAGTAAGGATCGCCTAAAACGACATCCTCTCTTTTCCAAATCCGAATAGTCCCCATCACTAAAAGGCCGATCAAGAAAACGATAGTCAATGAAGCTCCAAGTGCAACTATTATAACTATGGCCTTTATAGAAGCCGAAAGGTCCCACTGGTTAACACTACCAGATATGACAGAAGGGGTTTGTTTGGCGAAATGTCTTGGGGATGTTATGCCTGCAGTATTCGTTTCTTGGGTGAATGTTAAGGCTTTGCCTGCGTGTGCTCCTGAAACTAAATGTAGAATAATTAGTTGCGTTTTATCATTTTTGGTCACACTTTGAATCTGAAAAAGAAAAGCCAATGGTTCGTTACAAAGATGGTGCAAATTGTGCTGGTGAAGTGGTGTATAAATGTAATTTGGATCATTGGTTCATCTTTGGATCTTGCAAAATGTTAACGCACTCTTTCTAATGTAATGGCCTAATATAAAGAAACTTCGCTTATTCATGTATATGCTAATCAGTACCACAAAGGGCAATACAGAAGATTAACCGTAATACATTTTACACTTGCTATTTCTCGAGTCGTTTCGTGGTAGCCCCTCATATTTCGCTCAATTACAACATGCTTATACTTTGAACTACTGTATGCGCACGCACACCTCTAAACATGTTGATCAAGGTCACTGACAAATACATAAAGGACTATGACATTTGGGTCGAGTGGGTGCAGACTGTACACCCGGGACTGTACATTGAGTCAAACAGCAATGAGTAAATATTGTCTTTGAAATGTTCTTAGTATAGTAATACATGTACACCTGACAGCATATACATAAACATATGACAAACGATGACAAGAAAAGAATGTCTGCGTCATCCGGGCCCGCATCCGGGGTTAATATACGTTTACCTCTAGACATAGTTCATTCCGTTTCTTATCACAAATATCTAAGATCATTAAAAACTATGCCCTTAGAAAATATAAGCACAAAGAACACACAGAAATAATACTCAAAATCAGTTGATGTTTGATATACACTATTGGATTGGCAATTGACATGAGAACTGTGAAAGATGGCAGAGAATTCAATACGATTGAACGTATATATCGACATTAACACACCCCTTTAAAGATCCAAGTAACCTCTATTCAAAAGTCATAACAACCTTTGCATCATTGACATACATTGATACAAAGCATACTTTGTAAAAAACGCACGCTATGTGTTTAAAATGGGGAGTACGTGCACTAATATTTTATTCATGCACTATGATTCAGGCACTATGATTCAGCTCTAATATTTCAGATAAAGTTTTGCAATAACGCTTATTGAGTGCAATTGACGTAATTCTGAATCTTTTTCAATGTCGATGTTCTTATTATTGGGAATAATCGCCCTAATAAAATTAATGCAGAGAAAAAACACATTTCGAGAATCATGTCACAACCACCCAGTATCACATATCATAGTTAAAAATGTATTCAGTAAACAGGTAAAACACTGTCGGGATTACAACAGGCTGTATATTAATGCTATGTTCATGATTATAGCTTTGAATAATTCCAAGACAGGGCGTTAACATGCAAAATGTCACCACCTGCCATTTACAGACACCAAACACCAACAGCCGACGACGGTCCTCAAAAAAGCTGAAGACTATAACAATATGTCACCACTTCTAGTGATGACGCAATTAGAAGATAAGTATAGAGTGCACGTACTGTTTTTATGAACATGTAGCATAAATGTGATCACATGTCTCGCAGCACCATTTTCAACAGCACACGTGTAATTCCCTCTGTCTCTGTGCTGCAGGTTGTTCATCGCATGTGTTGGCTGGAAAATAACATTCATGAAGTTGTTTTGTTTCAGAAAACAAAGATGTACCAGGCAGTACTTCGTTTTTTAAAACGTCCATATATCATACCACAATTCACGATACCATTTACGAAACATGGAAACGCAGAGTTTAGTTTAGTTTTACGCAATAAAAACACAAACTTTTGGAGTCAATGCACATGTAGACCAGACAAATTATACATTTCATTCAATTAGTTGTATTGCAATTCGATTTATATATGGTTGATCATTGAGGAAATTAATTACAGGTCGTGTATATAAAAAGTTTGTTAGCAGTTGTTTCTAAATACCATACATTGATGAGGAAACTGGTATTAGGTGATACAGCATAATTGCAGAAACTAATGAAATGTTTAATAATCGATCGAATAGTTTTTAATGATATACTTACAGATTTACTCGGTGAGAGTTTTCTGTTTATCCACCACTTTATTACTTCATTATTTGGAGTGGATTTCCGCAAACATGACAAAGTAATGTTGTCACCTTGACAACTGTGGATATGTTTTATAATCTCATTGGTAATGTGCCTTGATTCTGTAATCAAAATGGTTATATACATGTTTATAAGTAATGTACAAATATTTGGAGAATACATACTATGATATCATGCGTTCCCTGTATTCTTTTTAAAGCCTCGAAGAACTTACCATGCGATTCAATGGAATCTGATGTGGTCAATTCTCTGTCATGGACGAACCCCTCTACTAAAATCACATGACCAAAAACAACCAATCCGAAAGCGAATCCATGCATGATTGGCAGACTGAGATTCGGGACATTTGGGACACAAAATGCTCCCAAGACGTCTGACATTTTGATATAAACGTCTCCTAAATAAAATAGAAAATATATGAATATGAACAAAACATATTGTTATGTAATGCTTCTAGGTGATGAAAATAGAACAAGCATGTCGTCATGCTTGCTTGTATTTTATGTAACTGTTATACAAAAGTACAAGAGTACAAAAAGATAACGAAGATAAAAATGCGATTGGATTGTAACTAATGTCTATGCACTGTGGGAGAAGTCATTACGCTCGCAGAGTAATTAAGTTCTTGGGGTTTCTCAAGTATATTTCTACTTTTATCCTTTTTATGTTATATTTGAAATCCAATATATAGGCCTAATCGCGTAATGAAAGATGAACGAGAACGTTTAGTTTTGCTAAGCCAATGAGTGATCGGGTCAAAAATGTATTTCTTTCCCCTTAGACCATCCAAACATACACAACAGTTGAATGATAAAATGATCATCATGAACTTTATTATGTACATCATGGTAACCAATGATTAACTCAAATGACTAGAGATATAGATCATGGTTATCGATGATTAACCGATTTATACACCATGGTCACCAATGGTTGACCAAATTGACGGACCACTGTCACCGATGATTAACATCTGGATCCAGACAGATAGGCATAAATAGTTCATGGTCATAATGTCAGGGAACAGATACGTAGATCATGGTCGATTACTCATGCCAATGACCAGATGTATAGACCATGGTCACCAATAATTATGGCCTTGGATCGACCGGTGTAAAAGGGTAGGAGGTCCTATTAATTTATGTACTCTCCGGATCCATTGATTTATATGGTGACCTATTTGTGCTCTTTCCCTTATTATCTTATACAGAATCAGGGCCACTAAGGGCCTTTAAAAGGGGGGCCATAATCCCCGGGGACCATAAGTTCTCTCACACGGACTGAAATTTATACTTTATGGCCACACAAAAATGATGAAAACCATCAATCGTCAGCATCTTATTATCGAGCAAATGAAATAGTTTAAACCGATAAGAAATATAAGCACAAATAAAATATGAACCTCGAGGACAAAACATACAGCATTAACAGTAATATTATTCCCAAAGTCGGAGGTTTCCCTGACACTTGTAAGGCTTACGAACTGAAAGGGCCCTCAAGGTATAATACGAATTATTTTCCCCCATCAAATGGAAGCTGAGACAGCTATTTAAACGAATACTAACCTACCTTCTTACAGTATTAAACACGACCCTGAGAGGCAACAAAGGTAACCAGTACTACTTCTGGCTATTTGTAAATCTGTATAGAGTTCTGAAAATCTGACTTCCGTTTCTCCTGTATTGACGTCATCCATGAGCAAGTCAAGCTGGTTTCAAATGTTATTGTCTAACCAAATCTACAATTTGAATATATCTGAACTCAATTCATCTCCTATCGATATTGAACATGTTGTTTTTTCTCGAACTCCGTTAGGATAGCTAGTAGTTCCTAGTAATAACATATTACAATAACATTCAGTAAGCTAATAGCCTTCAGACTGGGATGAATTTTGTACTTGTCTATCTCTCGCTCTATAATGACACTTGAAGTAAAAATGTTGTCGTGTCCTACTAAATCATTTATAATGTTAACGCTTATCTTAATCACACTTCATATATTAACTTATACATAGGTGCACTACTTACCAATAGGCGTCAATATTGGCTAAAAAACTACACGATAAAGAACATCGTTTGTTCACAGTTCACTATTCAGCTTATTATTGATATTGCTTATGAATGACCTCGACCTCTGACGCACTTTCTAATCACGTGATGTATGATATACTATGGTTATTAAAAAACATCTGGTACACTTACACTTTTATTACTCTAATAAAAGAGAAATAAAAATTTGAAACAATGAACTCAAATGTGATGTTTTCCTTTACAGGCTTTATGGTAATCTGCGTCAGTGCATTCAAGATCGATGTAAAATTACTAATTTTGAATGAAAATTTATTATTTCAATGGATAAATTAATTAAATGAAAATGTGTTTGCTTCTTATTTCATGCTTGAAACTTTAAATAAGGTACAAGCACAAATAGTAATTAAAATTATTCATGTTGTTTGCTTGTTTAGATCCTTTCTACAGCTGACAATTATCCCCACAAGTGCTTGTAACTCATAAGTAACACTTGTTTGCATTCTTACTTATCTTGCGTATGCTTGTTTATACTGTGTTATTGTGAAGATCCTTTTATTGTCATTTGTCTTAAAACAGGGCGACTGCGGATAAACAATACAAACTCAATCATTTAAAGCAAAACACAAATTGTAAAATTTGGGTCGTATTTTTAACATTATTTGCCAAATGAGCTGGGCATTTCTGGATTATCATCCACTAAAACTCAATGCAATTAATGGACAGTTATTTCGAAAGCCATCTTTAAACCATGATGAGTCGTCTCACCTGATTGATGTATAAGGCAAAGCATTCGTAAACACTTCAGAACAATGTTGTTGAAAGGCGGGATTGGTCCCAATCTCAATCGTTCCAATCCCATATATAATATCAATACTAGGATGCAATGAATGTGTGAACGTGGATTTTTAAAAATAAAATCGATTCCACGTTTAGCCATGTTTATTAGAATCCACTTTGTATTCTTTGCTACCACGTAAAGTCAACGTAAGGTTTTATTTTTGATTGCAGCTCATGAAATATCTAAAACAAACATGATCAATGGTTCCAACCTTGACGTTACGTCTTTATAACAAAATGAGTGAACACCCGTCTGATGTTTTCATCATTTTCACCAGGACGGGTAAAATGTTTGGATACAAAGCCATCTCCTTGTTGAGATGAAAATGATGAAAATAAGAATTTATGTTACTCCAATGGAAATTCATCCATTGTTGGAACCTGCAGTGAACATAGAGAATAAGTTTGAAAATGAAACACTTATTGATTTATTCCTTTTTTGAATGAAATGTCCATTGAAGCCAAAACGTTAGATAAAACCCGTCATTTTGAATATTATGGATATTGTGAGATTCGGACCATTTGGATCCCGGGATTTGGATTCAGCAAATGGAATTCGGAAAAACGGGATCGGACGATTGGGATTCGGACAAATTGTGTTTCTGGAATGACATAGTGTAAAAACGAACGGCAACATTGACATTCCGGTCGGATAGAATGCTAGCTAAGTATTTTTTAGATAATATCCGTTTCCATTGCGTCGATTGTTTATTCAATTTAATTATTATCCAACAAATACAAATATATCTATTTTTAGACATTGGTCCATTGCTATTTCTGAGATCTTTACCAATAACATTACACTATTGAATCTTGACAGACGTCATGATATCATACGCAAATTGATCTGATCATTTTTGGACGTGATATTTTATTCCTAAACGCAGAATATTATGTTTACTGTGTAAGTGACTCCCTGTGTGTCTTCTTGCTCTTAAGAAAGATATTTGATGGGCGGCACAGCAGGTATATTTAACCAATTTAATGAATTATGAGGTGTGTATTTAGTTTGATACTCGTGACCACCTACGCACTCCGAGATACATTTCTTGGGATCTGAACACATTGGTTCATTTGCGTCCGTGATATATTGTCTTTTTAACTCGTGTCCTTGGATTGCTATTCTTAGAGGTTTTGAAACCAAGTAAAGAAAACACATCTTCAGAACCGTAACCTGAAAGACCACTGGTAAGTCTTTTGATTTATTATCTATTATTGCAATTGAAAACGAAAGACATGTAATTCTGAACTGTTCTCGTTATGAAGACATCCGTTTAGACTTGTATGCAAACGTTTCTACTATTGTAACTGGTTTCATAAATTTAGATGAAGAGAGTAAATTTCAGTGTTTAATGTCTAATGACAGAATTTGTCTTTTCACAGCAAAAGCCTGTGACCGGATGCTTAAGCGACGGGAACATTTTATTTACAAAACCTGATTAATATGTTTTTACAAAAGTGTCTTATAGGCCCATAGGGGGCCTGGGGTGATTTTAACAGTGTACTATTGTTTTAAATATGTAATTGTATTTTAACTCATGACACTATAATAAAATTAAAATAAATAAAAAATAAATAAATAAATAAATTGTGCTACTTTAGGGAGGCTTAGCTACATCATCCGTCTTTTCAATACTTGGGTAGCACTTGCAAATTCAACTGCCGACTGACGGTTTATAAATTAACCTACTTTTGTTTGGCCAACTCATTCAATAGAATGGTGGCAGGTACAATTCATATTTTATTGAGTTGGTCATAAAATAGTAGGTTGATCCGTCAGCCGGCAGTAGAATTCGCGAATGCTACTTTAAATAGTCAAACTAAACGATGTGTTGAGCGCGAGTATGAGGAAAATATATTTTTCCTCCATCCCAGACTGAGAGTAAGTTTCGAATGTGCACACAACTTTACAATATCATTTTTATTGCTCTCAATCCATGCCATGTCATGTCTTTTTTAAATTAATCAAATGGTTCTAACTTCATGTTAATGCATGCTAACCATTTTGAGGTTATATTTTGCAAAGAGTTGTAATACTTGACATTCCTTTTCAGTTCCGTGTCAGCATTCTACAAATTCATTATCTGTATTTGACCAGATGTCCCTTTTCAGAGAACATAATTATAAATATGTAAGGGAAACACTGACTGCCATGCTTTTTCAAAATATTTCTTGGCTAGAAATAAAACATTTTAAATTATTTAAAACTTCATCATAATAAACATGCTATACATTCAATATATCTTCGATATCAGGATGTACATATGTATGTGTGTTTTATCTCATACTTGGACGTGTTACGGGTACATAAAGCCGGTTTGTAAAAACTTATATTTTCATCAGCGGGCAGATATAAGGGTTATGTACTGGGAGGTTTTGGATATGGGGTTTATCCAGAGGGAGATGTGCATATCTACCCGAGGGACCGTAGGGACCGAAGGTAGATGTGCATATCTCACGAGGGATGAACCCAATATCCAAACAGACCCGTACATAACTGCTTTATCCTATACCAAGTAGAGTTTTCAGGAGCATATGGCCATTTCAATAGAACAAAGTGGAAAAATAAACAAATCATTCAAAAGTCATTTTATTGCATTTCCACTACTTACCGGAAGCGGGAAGATATGCACCGAAGCGGGAAGATATGCACCGAAGCGGGAAATATGGCGGGAGATATGGAGGTTCTGGATATGGAAACCTCAAAATCAGGATACGGGATATATCTTACCAACTTATCTCCCTAAAACTCTACTTGGCATAGGATAAAGACTATTATACTGTTTTCATTGTTGTTTGTTTTCTAAGCAGTTTTATCTAAATAGTTTCATTTATTCTTAAAGGGTGACGCATATCGTTTAGAAAATCGAACGCTCGTTTCTGGTGTTGCTCACCGTTTAGTATAAAAGGCCCGATCCCGGAATAATACTCAAGGGTTCACAGGTTCGAGATCGTTGTGTCAACACCTCTAACTGTTATATAGCATAAGTATATTGTAGATCGTCACACATTTATAAAAGGGTGATTTTTATTTTGACAAATCAATTCCACATTTATGGGTGAAGTTTCAGGATCTTCTATTTGTGTATAATAAGGAAAAATTGGCATCTAAATTTCCCCATAACGTAATAGCACACAGCTTGGCATATGAAATATCCTACAAATGAAACAAAGCAAGACAAACCGGTTTCTAATACAAGGATTTATATTGGCTGTTGTACATGTATTCTTTGAACGCAATCACTCTTTTGATAACGTTTTCAAAATCATTATAAACGGATTACTTTATCTCAAAGACAATTTCAATAAACTGGATTTTACAGAACTCCCCTTATTTCTTAAAAATGGACTGATCCAGTTAATTCGCCTGGAGCCGCCATATTGTTTTTATACGGGATGCTAATCGGAACCCTTTAAATTACTTTTAAATTCCAATTGTTTCAAACTCAATTCATCAATTCTAACTACGGACGTAAGGGATTTCCATAACTCACCGGTAGCATATCACTGGCAACACTTGACACCGATATAGACTAATTTTCACTCAACCGTGCATTGATAGTTAATCGGGGTGTGTGGGAGGGCCCAAAGGAGTTGAGACGAGAATAGTCTTATCACATTTTAAGTTTTCAGGTGTAAATCAAACCGATTTTTCATTTCAATTGATAGAAACAATTCTCGAAATCGTTGTTCCCTCTTCAAAAGAGGAGACGCGAAAATCTTTCCTTATAAGGTCAAACTATTTCCCATGATGCAGTTCGCGGAGGAACAAATTTATACTTCCTTGTTTTCCCTCATAGGTTTAACATGGGGATTTTCACACCTATCTTTCAAACGATATATTCGTTCATATTCCCGTACGAGAGTACAGAAAATTTTTTTAGAAACGATTGATCTCTTATTAATCTTAATATAACAGCTATTTCTTTCATTGTATTGATTCATAGCGTGGTGAAAACGACGATTGAAAAGTGAGAAAATATTCCGGAAGAGAAGGTCACATGATCAGTTGACTAGTCGCCATATTGGAAAAAACAATTCCATTCGACTTTCAATACTTTCATGCCAATCTTACCGCACTACAAACTGCAACATCGATGCAACAACTGAATAAAAGTATTCATCTTCAAATTACATTATAGAGTTACGTTGAAAACCCACAAACAACTGATCAGTAGACCAAAGAAGACGCGTCGCTATTATCTAGGTCAATCTGTTCAGTGGTCCGAAAGCAAATCTATAGTACTCGTTTCCGAATTTTGTTGTTCATTGTACAGTCTTTTATTGATTAAACTCAGTATACTGACTATTAAAGCAATGACAAAGAGGAATACTTCCGATGGTGTCATTGTTTTATTTAGCGTGCGGGTGTAAAAACAAAATTGCGTAATTAGTTTGATTTAGAACTTTCGGGTCACGCAAATAGCTACGCGAAATGCATAGTGGAAAAATATTGACCAATCAAATTTTGTCCTTTTTGAGTGCTTTTTCAGAACATATTTGCGAACGTTCTGATTCAAAGAGCGAATCGCGAAAGGGAGAATTTGAATAGACGCTCTTCTCTCTGCCCACGGTGAAAATCTAGCTACATACGTCTTTTGATTGGTCTGGTTCACCCACGTGATATATACAGGATGGGAAATAAAAATAGGACATTGTGTATATATGAGTATGAGGAATTTAATTAGCTTTAGTAAGATATAGTATTTTGTGACATATCTTTAATGATTTAGAAATTGTGACAATTTTTTAATCTGATGTCCCATTGTCACAATTCACAAAAAACAGATTTTACAATCTACCAATACAAGAAAACGAATATCCAATTATCTCTGTCTTTCTCTTTGATAATAGCTCTCAATCTCAAGAAATCATTACTTTACATTACATATGTACTTTCTCTTTTGAATAGAATATATGTAAGTGTCACATCTTTATTTGCCCACCCTGTAGTGTTTTATTTGCGGAAGCTTAGTAGACTCTTGGAATGTCAAGTGAGTTCATTAGCCGATGATATAATCAAACTGTGGATATTTTAAACTGCAATTGACATTGTTCAAGTCTGGTTTATTTATGCTAATTTACTTTTATTTAGACCCTATACACAAGGAGACGATGCAGATATTAAGATATGATCATATCGTGGCATAACAAAATAAAAAGGTGAGAATGATTATTTAAAAGATTCAAAAAAATTATTTGATATATCATTTTAAAGATGCTTATCTGTTATATCTTTTTTGTTATAACTATGATGTAATGATAATTATTACAAAACTATGGATGTAACTAACATTGTGTAAGTACGACTACTTGGGTTCTTCGGTCTACTGCCTTAATGGATTATCACGGAGTGAGCTCGGAATATTTGTCCGCTGTTGGGTACAAGCTATTTGTCGTAAAAATGTGCAAGATGCTGTTTTTATAGTTTGCGTCAAAAATGGTAAGCGGGTCAAAGGGCGCAATGCATTGCGGCCGATATTAGGCACGGGGGTATTTCATGTTTGACACTGATCCTTTAGGAGTACTCCTCCTGGAGTAGGTTATTGTATTTTACCAAACATCAGAGTTAAAAAATGTGTGGTTTCCTGATAGAATAGCTTGATCGCCCATACAGAGAAACATCCGAAGCTTCTTCAATTGTAATTACAACATATTAATTGTATACTATTCTTATTTTCCCTCGTAGTCATGCCTACCAAACCAATGCAGCTTCTGATATTTTGCTTATGGCTACCGCATTTTTGGAAAGTTTCGGCAAATGTTTTTGTGGACAAAAGGATGAAAGAGGAAATATTTGAAGAAGGTAATTTTGTGTATATGTGTTACCAAACAACTCATTATACATGTACAAACAAAACTTACGCTTGCTTTGTTTATTCCAAAATAAATTGCATGATTATATATGCGTGTCTTAATTGCCAATATTGTGAATTCTTGTCAATACGAAAATATGTCCATATTCCGAAAACTTCATTCATATCGTGAAAAACGTGTAGACGAAATATATAGCCGAGAAATTTTCATTTATTTTTCTTTAAAATCTTATTGTAGATGTGTATGATATTCCACATAAGAAGCAATATGGGGAAAGTGCCTTCGTTATATTCACCCGTCTTATGACAAGAAAAGGCCAGCGACAATCCGACAATGATGATCTTCTTGCAGAAAGAATATTCAGACTTTTTGATGTAAACGGTAAGTGAATACATTCATTTTAATTTTAGTTTGTACCATATCATTTGACAGAAATTCATTTGATTTAATTTAAGAGAAAATTGTGAGAGCTGTGAAATATGCATATTAGTTAAATTACACAGATTCTAGCAATGATATAATAATTGTCTTTACTTATATTCGCCTCTTTGTTTCTTCAGATCATAATAAACAAATATGATATTTCCCTGGTTAACTCATGTTCGTCTTCAACCTCGTGATCTTTTGCATGATCGATTATCCAAATATGCTTATCTTAACAAGTGTTTTAAATATCCCACCCCCTCTTAATCAATCGGGCTTGTTATCGATCATTTCAATGAGATAATTTACGGGTTTGATTAAACATAAGGAATCTTTTCTTGCTTGGATAGTTTGTTAATATATATCGATCGCCTCTCTTAATTTTGGGGGTTTAGGACGTAAATGTCGTTTTGCATTTGTTGTTTCTATTAGTTAATAAGGAGTTTAAGCTTGCATTTAAAATCGAAACGCCAACCTATATACGTATGACCAATCGCCCATACAAATGCATTGCTTCAATATTTTCCGTTCACGTTTAGGTTGTGAACAACATTGCAAGCTTAAACTCCCTAATAATTCACCCGCTAGCACAATATGACGACAGTATCATTAATAAAAAAATAACCATTGATCTGTTTTGTCCGGGGCACTATGAACTGAAAGTTTAGATACTCGGCGGTTTGGCACAATTCAATGATACTTCATACTTCAACAAAAGTAGATTGTTTATCAAGCTCCATTTATTTTCAGAAAATACGGTAGTAGAGCTAAATGAGTTCAAAGCAATGCTGACATTACTAGGCGTGATTAAGAGACGACACTAGTTTAGTCTATTTGTGAAGACTTTACAACGACCTACTGTTCCACATAAATTGGTTAAATATATACCAATGCCAATTGCGATTGTACGTGGTGGCAGTGATGATGTAGAAATAGTAGGATGAGATGTTCATGACTGAGCAGCGATGGGGTGTTAGGGAAAATTAGTTCAGTCTATATGTGGATCGGAGACAATACAATGGCATAATGTTCATCATGCAACTAAGGGGATAACACCCCATCGTACTCGGACTCTCTTCATCAAATAAAAATAATACAACTACAATTACAACTACAGGGTGAGCCAATTCAATTTTATCACAATTTGTTTGGATTACCTTTTTTGGCTCACCCTGTATGACCTATTACTTATCTCTTCTTAAGCAACTATTAATTTGGCTAAAATACAAGATCCTTCGAAAATCATTGTTGTGGCAGTGATGATGTATTATAATTGAAATGGATATGGAAATCACAGCATTAGCATCACTTGTATTAGTATTTAATAACTCTACATTTTGACACCAGTTACTGTGTCACTCAGACAACATGTTTTGATTTATGCTCATATGGTCAAAAAATAATTATTTCAATCCATCTGAGGTCTTATTTTATCGTCATCTACATTTTAATTGGTTGTACGGTCTCATCTCAGGCCATGTTTTAGAAAGGAATAAATGCATGATTTCTTTGCAGTCCATAGTTCAATCGTATCCTCATTTAGATCGTCATAGAAGAAAAGATGTCATCGTCTACCTGAAATTGAAAATAAAAAGTACTTTACAAATAAAAATCGGATAAACGTTACTTTGTGGGAAGAGGACCTCACAATAATTATCTGTTTACGATGTTGAATGAAGTTTGCCGTCAATAAACCGCTTTCAGTTGTCAATAAACTGACATCACATCATTAGGCTGGATAAAGGTATTTGCGGTTATTTTACAACCATTCGCGTAAAAGACAAAACAAGAGATTCAAGATTCAAGATTCAAGATTTTATTGTGTTTCAAACCAAACACTTGGTTTCCTCACAAAATCAATTACAAGACATTTACATATAATTATACAATTAAAAAAACAACATGCATTGTTTCACAAATACCATCATACAATCTTTCCTTTTTCAAATAGCTCCCGACGCTGATTAAAAAGTTTATTTATAAAATGTATCAATTCGTTAACAATTTCAAAATCATCAGAAGTCATCAAAAAGTTATATTTTTCTTTATCCGACATATTATCAAATGTGTCAATAAAACTTAGTTTATTAAAAAATTCAAATCTACATTTTTTATAGCCATCACACACAAGAAGAAAATGCTTTTCATCCTCTACTTCCCCCTTATTGCAAATCTGACAAATTCTTTCATTTATTTCAAGTCGATGCTGTTTAGTGCCATCTTTTTTCTTTTTCTCGTGTCTCCCTGTTTCAATTCTTAAATTATGGTTTGCTAATCTAAACCTGGCCATTTTAAAAATTAACATTTTGTTCACGCTTAATGTTAAATATCTTTCCAGATTGTAATCAATTTTCATATAATTTGATTACTAATATTAAGTTTTCTATTTTCCCTTATAGCTCTATCATTAAGTTCTATACATTTTCTTTGCATTTCAAGTTTAATTGCTTTTAGTAATCGTTTTATTCCAAACGTACTCCCATTTTCAAAGACATGTTGAAAATGAAAGTACTTTAATATGCATTCCATATGTTTGACATATATGTTATTTTTATCCCGAAATGATATATTTATTAAGCTATCCGCGTTTGTTTGATGCACACATTTCAACCAATATTTTATGGAATATATAAGTGAGTCTATAGCTAATGGAAATCTTCCTAAATCTTTTTTAACGGCATAACTTGAAGTATATTTGTTAACCCCTAAAAGGAATTTGCAAAATTTATTGTGTATTTTTTCAGGAATAAAGTCTTCATAAGAACTCTCTAGTTTAAGGTCCCCTTGACTAATCCTTCTGTCAACTTTCAAGTGAAGCATTGACCAAAATTCACTTCCGTATAATAATATAGGCTTAACACACATGTCAAAGATTTTTGTGTGCAATTCTACATTGATAGTTGAAAACTTAAAATTTTGTCTCATCATAAAAATAACTTTCATCGCCTTCTTACTTAATTCTGATATGCCATGTTTCAAACTCCCAGAGCTTTTTAAAACAAATCCCAAATATTTATATTCATTTACTTTTTCTATATTTATACTTCCAAATTTAAAACATCTATAGCTAGGAGTAAACTACATCGTTTAGTTGCTATATCATTGGAATATTGGGCACTTCACAAAAATCACGATACTTTCTTAACCATATAACAATAACAAATAAGATTTAATTGTAAAAAACTATGATTTTGTTGTTCTAAAACGCCCCGATGAAAATTATTCCAAGAAACGTTAGTTTCAAAAATACGCTCAGAGTATTCTGGTGGAGTAATTCCTGGGAATTGAATTTTTATTCAAAATCCTCTGAATTCACTTCTCTGATTCAAACGAGAACAAATATTTGAAATCTCCATTCATTAAAGAGTTAACGGCACATTGAAATCTACGAAATCGTACGGTGTATATTTACAAGAATGGCTAAAAGCCAACTACAATTAAACAATTCAGAGTCCTAAAATGAACGAGTGAACATTTGTTCGCTTTTGTATGAACGTTCATCATTCTGGTTTTTGCTATCAATCATAAAAGTGCCCGTTGTTAATGTTTTGTGAAATATGTAATTTCAAAATATATTTCAATCGATGTATATAAATGGATTTCAGAACATATTAAGAATTAACTGATATTATGAAACGGAAGGTTACTTATTCACTACAGTAGTTATACAGGATGTCCATAATCTCTACACTTTACACAGACTTTGTTTTGGAATTGTTTCGACTTTATTGACACCTTGTATATTATATATTATTATGAGACGTGTGTTTAAAATAAGAAAACACAAGAGTAAAAGTATATATATAATTGAAAACATTGTCTATAATGATATTTAGAATACTAGAAATATAAAGATGATATTTATTAGAATATAATAGTTAATGTTATATATTCATAAATGAATACACAATGTACAAAGAAAAAACCATCATATTACATTTATGTATTGACATCAGAGAGTCAATAAAATATATATATAGTCAAGAGACAAATGTATAAGAATTGAATGGTTTCGTTTTTATTCTAATTGTGATTTTGGTTACTTTCCTATGGTATGTGAAATGCAGAATCAGTTCGGCTAGTAGAACTATAGCAAGAAACCTTTCCAAATGAGTGTTTCATTTTAAATTAGGTCACTCTAATTTGTGGAATTTAATTTTACTAATAACAGTTTTAACTTAAAAGTATAATGATGTCACTTTGTTTATGTTTAGTTTGAAACCAGAGGGGGAGAAACACCAGGGTTCAAAGATGACATACGCTTATAATGTAAATCTGTATTGAGATGACATCGTCGCTGATTGGTCAAAAGTCAACAAACAAATGACGTCATCAATGGCGGTTTCAAAATTTTCGGAATACGCTTCGAATAATATTATGTTCATCTCTGGCGTTTTAACCAATATCATAGCTTCTCATTTCACATCAAGATAAGGAAAGGTGTACGGAATATGCCTATGTCAATTAAAACATCCCATCGAAGGTAATATTTGATAACTAGCCGATGAAAATTTGAACGAACGAAGGTGGTAAGCAAGAGAGGTAATTATGTCTGTCATCTTTAAACTCTGGGGCTTTCCCTCCTCTTGTTTGAAACGTTAGATGGTGAATGTACATTCGAGTATATTACACTCCCAAACATTAGTTTGGTAACAAGAAGTTTTCATTCAATGGCAAATCGGAGCCTAGAGATGTTTGAATGTTCATTTTTCAAGTTGCTAAGCAGACTTTGGTGAGTGATCTTAGGCCTAAAGGGATCTTTGGTTGTCATAGTTATGGAGGGGAGTGTAAATCATAGATTTGAAATACAATGATTACCTACCCGGGGAACAATATGGATCATTCATACAATTCTGCATCAGGTTACCACGGTGGGCGTGCAAGGAGGCCTGTCCCATCTTAGCACCTAGTTGACTGTATATACACGGGAATCCACCACATTTCCGCTTTTCTACAGACGATTTCAGCAGTTGACTTATTTCTCGTAAAGTTTCGAGATTTTCATTATTCCTAAAAAGGTTTCATAAGTCGCATGAATTACACTACTTTTAAAAAAGATTTTTAAATTCGGTTCCCAATTCGATTACAAAGGTTTTACGAATTGCATTTGTTCTTAAATAATTTTAGAGAATTTACATTTTCAAATCTAAGACGACTTTGGTTCGCAGCTGTGTTTCTTTTTGGTTATATTCATCTCATAGATACCAATAACGTAACATACTTCATGAGCAGGATAATATTAGTATAATTATAGTATTTACCATAAATGTTTCAATCCTCCACGCTTTATTTCAATCATAAGGGGGAATATGTTTTGTTGGGAAAACTTTCTCTATAATTTTTTATAATTCCTGCGATATTGAAATAATATTTTGAGACCTTAAAAGTCAGACGCTCAATTCGATGTGTAATAACATATTAAAAAGAGACTTACCTTTCTATGTAAAACCCCTTTGAAAAGGGAATTATCACTGCAAACACGACACATGTCAACAAAAGATTCCAAATAAGCATCATTCCTAAATTAGAGCCAAGACATGCAATACATTTAAAGAAAAACTCCGCTTTGACTAAAACAAAAGGAAAGATTTTAATGATATCTTAAGAATACGCCTATAAGTAGACGAGGAAGGTTAATTGTGGTTGTAACGTGAAAAATCAGAGCTTAGTAGATTATTTTATTATTTCTTAATACTTTATTGTCTATTTTATGCTGCGCCTCCTCATATTGGCATTTTTGTTAACGATGTCGAGCTCATGTGATGACTTCACCTTATTGAGAGGGTAGTACAATGTGATTGGATGGCTAATGTCATGCGCCACTTACAAAGGATTCTGGGATGTCACCACCTCTGTGTACCCATGGATTATACCAGATCTCGATATCGTCCCTTGCTGAGCCTTCTGCTGGAATCCATAAAGAGGCTGTCATTTCTAATTCTACAATTGATGGCCAAACTGTTGGTCAGACTAGGACATTTTTATATAGCACCAGGGGACATGTTTCTGCACTTTACTATCATTCGTTTATGAGTATCATCCTTGGATTAAAACTATTAAGATAATAACAATTGTTTTATTTTTTATGGAGATCGTTACCTGTGCAATGTGTCTCAATAATAGGTTACTTCGCAATTTCATAGAGCAAAATCTGAGGATACGAGGCTTAAAGATTTATTTTGATGTGCCTATAATGTGGTGGAAAATGTTCAACAACGTGGCTGGATGTATTTTTCCATAGAGTACTTCCTACAGTACCTCTATTTGAAGAATGAGCGCATAACATGATAATGAAGAATGTGAAATTAAGCGGTCAATCTGTTTACATATTTGCTTCATGATACGTAACTTTCATTTGTACATTACATTATACATGATGCCCATCTCTTCATTTATTACACAATTCCTCCATTTTGATCGTCTGACGATTTTAGTTAGAGACCCATGCCTCTCTATCGTTTCAAAAAATTTACCCAACGTTGCGGTCTCTGTTAATTTATGGCATCCATACTTTTCTGAAAGGTAACACTTTGAGGTTCAATTTTCTGCCGGATGCCCTTGCAAACTCTCATTGGTTGCTCTGTATTGTAGCATTCCGTTACCATGGTTACGCATCTATAGGCATCTTACCTTGGAATCTTAAATCATTTGTAGCTTTGTCATTATTTTGTCTATAGATATGATATTGGTATCTAATTAAACCTAAATAAATGTCTCATATATTTAAATATCCAATTATGCAAATTAGCTCATTTGCATAAATTGTGACGTCATAAATCTATTTTTGGTTCAGAATTTTCAAGTATAGCAATGTATCTTTAAGAACTGAAGCCGTATGGTAGAATTTCTTCAATGTTATGACTTTTATTCTGTGAGCAGAAGGTTTAAGCAACATAAAAGTGAAAACAGATTCAAAATTGGATCAGAACTAACAAAGTTATTAATGTTTCTGGGCAGCTACCATGAACGTTATCATTGAATAATTAACTTTAAACATCTTACCTTAGAATTGAAATGTTTGGTAGCTTTGTCATTATTTGGTCTATAGAGGAGATCTTGGTATTGAATTGATCCTAATTGAATAAATGGTATGGTAACGATATTCAATTATGCAAATTAGCTAATTTGCATAAATTATGATGTCATCAATCTATTTTTGGTTCAGAACTTCCAAGTATAGCAACAAAGGAGGGCGAGTTGTTTGTAGAATGAATCGGGGGATTTTTTTCATGAATTTCGCTTATGTTTTTCATCCAAAAAACATCAATACACTTTAAAACATTTTGTTTACTTTAAGATTACACCATGTAATCAAAAAATATATTTCTCGTTTTCAAAGATAATCCATGGATTAACACCCAGGTATTTTTATTTTTCAAACTTTAGAGGGCTGGGAATCATTGATGCTCAACGCTTTTGAATATGATAAATGCTGTTTTAAATAGGTTTTACGTATGCCAATAATTTCTCAAATTATGTAAGCTGAATGCATTCCATAATCCCTAGAATATTCTCTTGGAGGAATCCAATGGTATCCAATGGTAGTTCCAAGTAGATTTTTAGATGGCAGGTAAGTAAATTCTTTAGTACTCGCCTTATTGGGTTGAGTTAGTTTATATTCAAAAAATATATATGATTCTGTAAAGATGTCAGTGTGGATGCTATATAGATTGCACACGTATGGTTAGCTGTATAATCCTATATTATGTAACACGAGTACAGTTTTGGTTGACATGATTGTGACTGAGTGAGAGATTAAACTCTTTAAGGTAGTTCTGCATGTTGATAATTTTTACTAATTTTGGTGATGAATAAATTATCTGATAATTATAAATTGGGCGATATTTTTGACATTTTAAGTGGATATAAAGAATTATGGTAACATACACATGGACCATGCATACACATACAATTACAAATGTGAAAATATTGTCCCTTTCATTGATTATCGGTATTTATAATCATGAAAATTATTGAAAAATATCGAGACATGTTTACCTTAAAATCAGATTGGCTTACAAGTACCCTAAGCTATTTTCACATTTTTATTGCAAGAAAATCTTTTTGCAAGGATTACAAAGGCTGAAATATTGTGGTGGCTCTATTTGGCTGGAGTTTAATATTCAGACCTAGCTATAGGTATTATTACATTTATATGTACACTAGTATCTTGTTGACCTATATTCAGCACTGTATTGATGAATGGGCCACTTATTAGGGCCAATATTCAATCATAAAGTGTACAGGGGTAGAGATGCCAAACCAAGAAGTCTTTTTGTGTCTGTCAAAATCCATTTGCATCCTACACATCCCAACATATTATCCAAATATGTTATTAATTAATGAAACATAACAGTATAATCTTTGGATTTAGAAAGTTGTATGGGATTTCATTAGTATAAAAGTTGCTTTTGAAGCATTTTTCTATAGCCATTTTGTAGGAAAAAAATGATGGAAAAATGTATAATCTTTTAATTTGAAGTATGACCTGAATCGATTGCAAACTTTATATTTGCACATCTGATGTGATATACCATTTGTGTCATACTGTGAAATTATTTAATTTGCAATCGATTCAGGTCATAGTGTATTTTAGGTATTTTTGTGAAAATCAATAGAAACCAATGGCCTCTATTGGAATTGATGATATCCACATGTTAAGTCAATGGAGCCCATTCAAAGGCAAGTCAATACACCCTTGCTGAACTAAATGACCTCAACCTTTTCCACAGTATTATGTGACATTGTATTCTTTATGTTACACCTAAAAATGATTCATTTTGTTCATGGGGATATCATAATGGAAAGTGCACTAGACCCTTATTGTAATTGTATGATATCGTATTTGTGATTTGAATATACACTGTGATATTTGAGAAAAAGAATGTTTTGTTTTAGTTTCATTGCAATTTATAACCCTAATATCCTTCCCAGAATCCTTCCTTGTCTTCCAATTTTCTAATAACCTCAGAAGTTCCTACTTTTAAAAAAAATACAATTTTCCATGATCATTTTTATGTCACCACCACAAGTGGTGACATATTGTTATGGTCTCAGACTTTTTTGTGGACGGTGTTCAGTGGTTGGTGTTTATCATTTGGCAGTTGGTGTTTGGCAGTTGGTGTCTGTAACAAATGGCAGGTGTTGACATTTTGCATGTGAATGCCTTGTCTTATAATGTAGCCAACTGCAATGGATGTAAAAGGTATACAGTTAACTAATACATTTCTTGGCATCAATTCAAATCATATGCTAATTTTAAATGAAAATGCTTTTTTTCATGTTTTACCACTCATAAATGCCATAATATCTCGATGTCACATTCAGGAAAATATGGCTATCAACAAGTTTTGAATTCTTACAATCCTGGAAGTTGTACAAGTAAGCGTACACATCTGTCAGTTCAGTTTATGTGTAAAAGTTAATCCCCTAAGCCTTAATACCTGATGCATGAAATATTATGAATGAGTTACATAATATGTACTCGTGCTATTTAGGTAAATGTTGTGCTGTTTCACCAGATTTGACTGACATCTTTAAATAACAACAATTTGATTTGATGATCAGACAGCAACAAAACATATTAAGTGGCCAAGACAAAAGAATGTTATTATGATAGGCATTCTAGGGATGAGGGAATGCATTCAGCTTACATAATTTGAGAAATTATTGGCATACGTAAAACCTATTTAAAACAGCATTTATCGTATTCAAAAGCGTTGAGCATCATTGATTCCCAGCCCTCTGAAGATTGAAAAATAAAAATACCTGGGTGTTAATCCATGGATTATCTTTGAAAATGAGAAATATATTTTTGGATTACATGGTGTAATCTTAAAGTAAACAAAATGTTTTAAAGTGTATTGATGTTTTTTGGATGAAAAACATAAGCGAAATTCATGAAAAAAATCCCCCGATTCATTCTACAAACAACTCGCCCTCCTTTATTAGATCCGAGGTTGGATGGTGTAGTTTCTGCATAGTTCGTCATTGATTCTATGAGTGGAAGAGGTATGAGCAACATCAAAAAATATTCAAAATTGAATGAGTATTAGTAAAGTAATTCAGCTTTTGAGGCAGCTGCTATGTACGTTACTATTTGACAATCATAAATATAACACTTTTGACTATCATTGACATGGGTCAAAACAGTTTTTTTTGATTTTGTAACATGATTTATTGTTTGTGAGAAAGTTATGGATTAATCAGTTAGTGAATGGGTGAATGGTATGGCGAAATCTGTTATGTAATCTATAAATCATTGAAATGATTTGCTTCATAGGCGTCAATCTATTTAAAAATGCGAAACATCGTGACTGGTGAAACATCAATATTTGTCCTGCAATTCAAGCAGTGAACATCTACATGAATTTTTAAACTGATTTGCTTCATAGGCGTCAATCTATTTAAAAATGCGAAACATCGTGACTGGTCAAACATTAATATTTGTGCTGCGATTCAAGCAGTAATCATCTACATGACCTGTTAAGACAAATTGATGACGTTATATCACAAAATGTATGTCATTGCTGTTTTTTATGTCGCCATCAAAAGCGGTGACATATTGTTCCCCATTTGGCTCCATTTTTGAGACGGCTTTTGACATCTGGTGTCTGGCCTTTGGCATCTGTAACAAATGGTAGGTTGAGACATTTTGCTTGTTTGAATTATTTACAAAATGTTATAAAAAATATCAAAATAATATATTTCTAAAAGCCTCATTTAAAAAAACAGCAAGAACATTTATTTTGATTTATTTCTTTGAAGAGGATTTAAAGATTGACTTTTTGCATGCTGGTGACGTTGCGCCATTCTTACACCTTAAACCTAACTGATTTTACCATACTGTATGCTTTTTGAAGAAAGAAATCTTATTTGTTGAATTTTCTAGCAGAAATCGTCTCCCTTCACTCATTTTGTCAGATTACTGGC